ACGTTAGAAAAAGCTTGATCACTCAAACAGAGAATAGTCAACATCACATGGTATAACTGAGCTGTGTTTTATTAGCCAGTGGGTCTGGTTACATTCAACAGTCTGCTGAAAATCAGCACCTCCTTTAGTTTGACTTTTCCAAATGTTAAATGTCACCGCAAGGAAAGTCTGTTGGCCGGCTGACCTGTAGTCCAACTCCAGAATCTAAACACTGTTTGGGTTTCAGGTTTGTTACACCCGATGATAAGAAGAAACAGGGCATCCAGCGGGACAACGAGGTTCTGCTCCAGAGGCGCAAAGACCAGATCCAGCCCGGCGGCACGACGCTGAGCGTCACGGTTCCCTATCGAGTCATCGATCAGCCGCTCAAACTGGCTCCACAGGACTGGTGAGACTTTTATTAAAATGTTATTTCACTCAGTCTGTGAAGGAGTTGACATGTCAGTTAAAGTTGGGTTTCCTTCTGATTAAATCAAAGCTTCTGATACTCTGAACAGTTGATAAAGCATCAGGACTGTTGGAAATAACTGAGTGGGCGGTGTCCGGTTTCAGAAGTCTGTTTACGATGCAGGTTGCTCCTTTTCTATCTAACACCATCGTGTTTTCTTTGCTTTAACCCCTTATTTGCAGCAACAAGCGCCCGATTAGAAATGTTAACGTATTTTCAAAGAATTAAAAGGTTTACTTATCACTTCAAGCAAAAGGCCAAGATACTCTCTATTCAAAACAAAATTCCCCTTTCATTCAAAACCACAAACATACAGTGTACAGTGTAGCTTTTCATTAAAATGCTACATACGGAAAAATAAACCCCTTCAAAATGTTAAAGAACAAACGTGAGGAAGGGTTTTAAAAATGTTTTTTTTATTAGTTTAAAAGTTTTCTTTTTTTGATCCAAAAAAAGGAAAGTGTATTTCTAAGCAGGTCCAAGGAATTTAAAAGGGGAAATACTGATAGAAAGCTTAATGTTTTGTTAATAAAAACATTTAACAGAGTGAGGAGTGAAGCGCAGGTGATGACGCTAAAGTTTTTATTTGTTGAGAAGCTGTTAAACGTTGTGAGAATCTCCAACACTTCTACAACAAGCTCCCTCTCTGTCTCATCATACTGCCTCACAAACAGCTAAAACTGAGCATCGTCGGCTCCTTCACAGCAAGGGGAGTGCATTTAGAGTTTTATTTTTAATTATCGCATCACAAAGCTGCTTAAACAGATTACCTACCCATGGTTCGGTACGCCCTGATTAATCTGGAAGCAGGATTTTCTTCATTTTTGCCATCATCCTTTTTTTTCTCCTGATCTTTTAAAGGGGAACACCATTTATTTTACATTGGGTTGTAAAATTTTATTCAATCAATATTTTACACGGGGAACCGGTTGCAGCGCCGGGGTCTGG